ACTGGTCTTGTGACCCTTTGTTCTCCCCCACTTTGCCTATGGGGGTGTGTTAAACTGTATTATGTTTGTAGGCTGTAGTGGGGTAGCCAATATGGGGTATAAACCCCAACTAGGGTTTGCTACTTGTACCCAATTCTTCCATTCAATGCATCATTCTTGCCTAGTTCTTTTCACATGCTGTTCCCCTAGCACCGCTCACACTACACCCCCTAGCGCCACTCCCTCGGCTCCCACACACCCACCCCCCTCAGCGGCAGCTGCAGCAGTGGGAGACGGAGAAGGAGGAGGAGGAGGGGAACGGCACTCAGTGGCTTCACCCCCATACCCCTCACCCCCAAACCCTAATTCAGGAGAACGGGCTGTAGGAGGGGTGGGGCGCCAGTAGAAGCACGGGGGACAGTGGGGAGGGCAGGGGCAGCGAGGAACGGGCCGCCCACGGGCCTGGCATAGCCGCCCGAACCGCGCGCAGGCGGCCCGAGCCGCGCGCGGGCCTGGCGCTTCCCGTACGGGCCGCGCGCGGGCCTGGCGCAGCCCGTACGGGCCGCGCGCCGGCTGTACGGGCCGCGCGCAGGCCACGACGGGCGACGGGGGGCGACGCGCGGGTCCCCGTCGCCCGTCGCAGCGCCTCCCGGGGGCGACGCGCCGAGTGACGGGGCAGAAAACCGCCGCGCGCCCCGGGCGCGCGGCGGGAAGAAAAAATCGCTGCGCGCCCGGAGCGCGCGGCAGGCAGGAAACAGCAGGAAACAACAGCGGAAGCTTCTGGTGGGACCACCCACAGGATCGACCCAGGAGGGTCGACCCGCTCTGATAGCATGTCAAAATGCTAGGCCAAAACGAGAAACAGGCAAGAAGGGTTTTGACTAACAAGCATAGGGATACATATATGCAAACCCTAGAAGGGCTGTACTCGCTATAGAGTACCCCACTGCAGGCTAGACAACCATCACATTCTGACAGAAATGTCAACCACGATGAAACAACTAAGAAAGGTCACTCTTCCAGGATGAAGAGCTCCAGTCAGGCGAATAGCTGAATAACTGAATGAAGCTCTGCTCCTGGTATTGATTTGACGACTTTGAAGAAAGACAGGTAACAGAAGAAGATCTGCTCCTGTGAGGAAATCAGGTCATCACAGTTGTGTCTGTGATTCCACTTGACATCTGCTGCTGCGGCTGCTTCCGCCGCCATTCAGCTACTTCCACTTGCTGCTTTTCCTTCGATTCAACTTGTTGCAGTTTCTGCTACAGGAACAATCGCCCATTGCCTTGCTGCTCCTGCTACAGTTGTTGTACTTCTTCTTGTTGAACGGACCACGACTGTCCTTGTTGCTGCTGCTTCTCTTGGTGCTGTTGCTGATGCTCCTGCTGGCGCTGCATCAGACGTTGTTGCTGCTGTTCTTGCTGATAATGCATCAGCTCTTGTTGCTGTTGCTGGTGCTGGTGTAGCTGCACATGCTGTTGCTGCTGCTGATGTTCTTGTAGCATCAACTGCTGTTGCTGTTGTCCCAGCTGCTGCAGCCGCAAGCGTTGTTGCTTCTGCTGCTCTTGTTCCTGTTGCTGTTGAAAATTTTGGTGCTGCTGCTGCACACACTGAAGTTGGAGCTCTTTTTGCTGGTGCCGGTACAGGTCCTGCAGCTGCTGCTGTTGTTCCTGCTGCCGCTCATCTTGTTGTTGCAACAACTGTTGCTGCTCCTGCTGCTGACGCAACTGTTGCTGCTGTTGATTCCAGGCGTGTGCCTCTGCCTGTTGCATGTAAACCTCTCCTACCTCCCTCACTGGCCACCACATACAGCCACAAAACATACGCAACAGGGAAAAGGGTGACAAGTGTTGACAAGAAACAAGAAAGGCGTTAATAACTTCCAATCTACACAAACGCAGCCTCCCTCACCTCTCCTGTCCAGATTCATGTGGGCTCGACGCACTGCAGAGACATTAAATCTCCTGCTTCCGAATCTGCCCTGGAGATCAGCTTCTGAGCCTGTCCCGAGCCTCTCTCCTCTCCATGAATCCCCTATGTTTGGCAAATCAGCAAGACCGGTGACGCTGGGTGCAGAGCTAGGAGACACAAGCGAAGGCTGCTGGGAGGGATCAGCTGGGAGGGTAGAATACGCTGCTGAAGTAGCAGCAGCCGAGCCGCCAGACGGGTCTGTTGTAGAATCTTCTGCAGCAGGCGTGTTTTCTGCCAAAAACGTCTTTGCAGTAGGCGCAGGGATTGTCGTTGAACTGTGTACAGAACGCACGTGCTCAGGATGTGAAGGATCCATGATGCAGTTGAGCTAGTCGTGAGACGTTCTGCGGCTGGGGTTCTTCTGGCTTTTCTCGCACCACCCGTGGCTTGAAAAGAAAGTCGTTAATGCTCCTTCGAGGTGTGGAAAAAGCAATATAATCCTGTTCCACAGTACGACTTCCGTCACGTCGTCAATCAAGATTCGAAAAGAACAAATCAACGATGCACAACTATAGGACCCGTCTAAGCTTACCGTCGATGGCACGGCCTGTCATAATACCATCGTCCAGCCCGTAGAATGTCCTGTGCTCTCAGCATGATGTGACACTCGACGGCCTTAGAACAAGCAACGCCTGCGGTGCTCCGAAATCCTGCAGGGGAGCCTTGGTGAAGAAAACCGATGAAGAGAGCCGACAGAGAGCGCCGTTGGGGAGGCGCTCAAACACCACGGGAAAAGGTGTTGCTCAAGACTGGTTCCTGATCTAATAAATTACAATTTCTTTGAAGTCTCATGTGCATGAAACCGGCACGAGCAAAAGCGAGTTTGCCAGCCATAGTTTATATCGAAACACCGAAGGTATATCGGGGTGCTGACGACACGAGAGGTATCCTCTGGATAAACGCCGCCTGACGACACGAAAGGCCGAAGCAGAATTGCACGCATAGAGAGAGTTTCACGTCACGCAAGGGAGTATTGGGAAGCAACCATGCAGAGACATCATGCAGCAGCAAGCAAATGCGCTGACTGCTATGGCAGTCTCTGACAACTATGCTACGGTTCACGTGCGGTTCATCTGCCTCTCGTGTTGTATGGGCGTGCCACTGAAAGGATCCTTGCATTGCATGGCCAGGAGAGGAGCGAAGGCGGAAGTTGGACGGCCGCGATATGTGGTGAGGTGAGGTTGTGGGTGCATTACAAGCTCCGTAACATAAGCGATTCAGGTTGAACCAGCCAGTCGAAGTGCTTCACGGTTAACTAAAATATTTTCCTCTCTCAGGTGCAACGCAATATTCAAGGCTTCCATAGACTACTGGCAAGAACAATGGATACAACCATCTAGGAAATTTCAAAGCACACAGTGGATTTTACAAGACCCACCAACCAACATCAGGTCTAACACTCAGACAGGGGATTAATCTCTAGGTAAGAAATTGTTAGAATATATATTTATATATATTTATGTACCTGCCTGTAGCTGTAGCTTTAGTGTAGTTATAAACTCTTTGTATTGGTGGTGCACCTCCTTTGTCTCCTATTTGTACCCTCGAGCCTATAGTGAACCCCCCTTCTTTCTCGACATTCCACTCTCTCGCCACTCTCCTAGGTTCCTAACCTAGCCTAGCTTCTTGACATGGTACAGAGCAGGTTCTTTCCCGGAACCTTCCTTTTTTTTTTAAGAATTATGGGCCCGCCCGTACAACAGCGCGAAATGCGCTATTTTTTCTCGTCGCGCCCGTTGCGCCCGTCGCCCGTCACCCGTCGCTGCCTTGCCCGTCACGCCCGTCGCTGCGTTGCCCGTCGCGCCCGTCGCTGCCCCGATTCCCGTCCCCCGCGGCCCCCCGTTTCGACGCCCCGCGGCCCCCCGTTCCGTCGCCAGCGCGGATGCCACCACCGCGGCCAGCCGCCACCGCCAGCGCCAGCAGCAGCTACCGCCAGCGCCAGCAGCAGCCAGCCGCCCCACCGCGGCCAGCCGCCCGCGCCAGCGCCAGCAGCAGCTACCGCCAGCGCCAGCCGCCCGCGCCAGCGCCAGCAGCAGCTACCGCCAGCGCCAGCAGCAGCTACCGCGTGCGCAAGCCGCGAAGCGCCAGCGCTGCGCCAGCCGCGAGGCGCCAGCGCCTGCGCCATCCGCGCACGCCAGCGCTTGCGCCAGCAGGGGCCGCCGGCGCCGGCAGCTCCGTATGCCGCCCCCCCCCCCCCCCCGCCCTTCCCTTCCGCGGCTTCCGCCGTGGGGGGGGGGGGACGGGAGTTCTGGGGGCGGAGGGTGTGAACCACCAGTAGCTCGTCCCTCCCCCACTCTCCTTCCCTCTTACTCTCTCCCTGCAGCACTTGTTGCTGTCGGGGGAGGGGGGGGGGGGGGATGAGAAATGCTAAGGGAGGGTAAGAGAGAGTGGTGGAACCAGTAGCCACGCATCTGCAGCTGCCGTCCACTGCTATGTGGCACCTACTTCTGCAGCCCCTGACGCTTCTCTCTCTTCGTTCGTCTTCTTTGCTGTTGAGCTGCAAACTAAGCGCGCCACAGCACATCGTCTTCGTTCTCTCTTTCTTGCCTCAGGGCTTGCTGCAGCTGTCTCTGCCACCACTGCACTGGTTGTCATTGCACTTGCCTCCTGTTGCTGCTTTCTCTGTTCGTGGTGTACCCATCCAGGAGTTGTTGCTGCACAAGCTCCTGCTGCAGGCAGTTATGGGGGAGTGTTAGAATATATATTTATATATATTTATGTACCTGCCTGTAGCTGTAGCTTTAGTGTAGTTATAAACTCTTTGTATTGGTGGTGCACCTCCTTTGTCTCCTATTTGTACCCTCGAGCCTATAGTGAACCCCCCTTCTTTCTCGACATTCCACTCTCTCGCCACTCTCCTAGGTTCCTAACCTAGCCTAGCTTCTTGACAGAAATGCACCCAACCCTTCCCCAAGCAACATTTGTGCTTTATTTCCTGTTTCTCCCATTACTCCCATCACATCACAGGATTGCGGGTAACAAATTCCTGGTTCTTCATCTAAATTCCTTTGTTTCTATTCACCAGTCAGCACATCCATTTCGCGTTGCCCCTATTCCTCCGAGCGACACTGCATCTCATGCTCTGCTTCCACTTCCCATTCTGACTCCACCTGCTGATTCAAGTTCCCACTCAACTCCGCACCTTTCATCCCCACCAACCCCTGCCTCCTCAACTGGAGCCCCTCTTCCCCATGTTGATCCCTTATAAGCTGCTCCTGTAAGAGCAGCAACTGGCGGAGCTGTTCCAGCTGTGCCAGATCGTCCTCCTCGCTCCTTCCTGCACCCTCCCCTTGCAATGACCGCCCTGGCAGAGCACCAGGTCCCACCTCCTGCTGCTGGCTCAAGGAAGGTTGAGAAATCGAAGGCTGCTGCTGCTGCTGCTGCTGCTGGGCAAAGGCAGGATGAGAGGTTATCGGCTGCTGCTGTTGCGGGTCAAAGGTGAGCCCAGTAGCCCATGGCTGCTGCTGCTGCTGCTGCTGCTGCGCCAAGTTGGGCTGAGGGAAAATGACAGGCGGCTGCAAGGAGGAGACGGACTGCTGCTGGCGTGCTGGCATGGAGGCAGGTGGATTTGACTGGGGAGGGAGCCTAGGAGATGGAATGGCAGCACCTGAAGGACCATGAGATGTAACGGCACCACCAGCTGAAGAGCCGTACTGTGGAGTGGCTAGGGGAGCCGTGGCAGCAGGAGTTGACACGGCAGATCCAGCAAGAACTGGAGGCCTAACCTTCAAAGGTGTTACCAGCGAAGGCGTAACCGGAGGAGGACTAACTATGGAAGGCACAAACGTGGAAGGTGTAACCGCAGCAAGAGCAGTGGCAATAGCAGAGGAAAGAGGCCCAGAGGTGAGGTAAGGCATGGCAGGAGAAGAGTCAGGCAGGGTGCCAGCAGGCATAGTCACAGCAGGCATAGTCACAGCAGGTATAGTCACAGAAGACATAGTCACATCAGGCATAGTCACAGCAGGCATAGTCACAGCAGGTATAGTCACAGCAGGCATAGTCACATCAGGCATATTCACAGCAGGAACGGTCACAGCAGGCAGAGTCACATCAGGATGAGTCAGATCAGGAATAGTCACAGCAGGCATAATCGCGGACGGGAAAGACAAGCCATGGAGATGTGAGGCTGCAGGCAGCCAATCCAAAGCCGCGAGCTCTTCCACAGACCCCTCTCCTCCTCCCACTCCTCCCACTCCTCCCACTGCTCCCATTCCTCCCACTGCTCCCACTCCTCCCACTGCTCCCATTCCTCCCACTCCTCCCACTGCTCCCATTCCTCCCACACCTACTCGGGCAACATTCATTGGCGCCACACATGATTCTGCTTGGCTGCTCTCCCCCTGCTGCTGCTCTCCAGGTCCCAATGCCTCCAACACCCCACCCATGCCTGGCTGTGCTTGCTGCTCTGCTAATACCAACAGCTGCCTCAACAACTCCTGCTGTGGCAGCGGCTGCTGCTGCTGCTGCTGCTTCTTCTGCTGCTGCTGCTGCTGCTGCTGCTGCTGCTGCTGCTGCTGCTGCTGCTGCTGCTGCTGCTGCTGCTGCTGCTGCTGCTGCTGCTGCTGCTGCTGCTGCTGCTGCTGCTGCTGCTGCTGCTGCTGCTGCTGCTGCTGCTGCGGCGGCTGAGGCGGCTGCGACGGCGGCTGCTGCTGCTCAAGCGGTCGCCTATGTGATCGCAGCCATGCAACATCATTCCCGCCGGTCCTCTGCATTCGCTCTGGACCTGCCTCTGCCCCTGCTCCTGACCGCCCTGGCAAAGAATCCCTTTCTCCTGCCACTTCTCGTGAAATCTCCATTGGCTGCTGCTGCTGCTGCTGCTGCTGCTCCTGCTGGCACCACTGTTGCTGCTGCTGTTCGTTACTCAACACCTGCTGCTGCCGCTCCTGCTGCTGCTGCTGCGTCCCTCCCATGGCACTCTGTTGCTCCTGCTCTCCTCCTGCAACAGGCGGAGCGGACCCTGGCCGCGCAGATGTAACACCAGATGTAACGCCACCTGGGAGTACACCAGATGTAACCCATGCTGCCAACAGGTCAGTTGGTATCGCTCGCAGCTGACTAGCGGGTACAGGTGGGGCAAGAGGGAACTGATGCTGAGAAAAGGTGGTCACTGGTGGTATGGTTACCGATGGTATGGTCACCGGTGGCACTGCAGCAGCAGGAAAAGATGGAAGTGAGGGGGGAACAGAAGCAGGATGGGCAGGCGCGAAGGAGGATCCAGTGGTAACCGCATGAGGTGTTACAGGATCACCAGGGGGTGCTTCAGGGGGGCAGGAGCGGATAAAGAGAGATTGGAGGAACTCGGGTGAGAGGGTGGAGAGGAAGGGGTCTGGGGAGGGAGGAGAGAGGAGTGGATGCTGTGGTGGGGATGGGTTGGAGTGGGTGGAGTGTCCCATGGGAGTCTGGGTTGGTGGCCGTGAGGGAGTGTGAGGAGGCAGGGAAGCGGGAGTGTGGGGAAGTGATGAAGGCATGTTGCTGTGAGACCTGCTGGGAACAGCCTTGGGTGCCCTGGGCTGGGTAAACCCTGACTGCTCATTCCTCTGCTGCAGCTGATGACTATGGTGCGTTTGCTGGAGCCCTTGCTGCTGCTGCTGTTGCCGCAGCTGCTGCTGTTCCTGCTGCTGCATGCACTGCAGTTGCCGGTGCTGCTGCAGATGACGCTGCAGCAGCTGCAGCTGCTCTTGACGCTGGTTCTCCTGCCTTTGATGCTGCTGTTGTGGATCTACCTGCATCTGTTCCACTGGCCACCCGCCTTGACCCATGGCAGATGACGCACCCATGGCAGCAGGAACGCCAAGTGGAGTCTCAGCAGAGGGTCTGCTCCCAGCGCTCTGGGATACGCCAATGGAGAAACGGTGGGCCTCAGGAGTCAGTTTTTGAGGCGCCTCAAACTCAAACGCAGAGGCTTTGCTTCCAGCGTTGCGTGAATGGGATGCGCCAACGGAGAAACGGTGAGCCCCAGGAATGAGCTGCTGCTGCTGCTGCTGTTGCTGCTGTTGCTGTTGCAAAAGAAGCTGTAGCTGTTGGTGCTGGCGCAGCTGAAGCTCAGCCCTGGCTTGAGCCTCGGCCTCCTGTAGAAACACGTCTTCTAGCTTGCGCTCTGGCATTGCACATTGCAACAAGGAGAACAATAAGCACAAGGAGTGCAACGAGTGCAACGAGTGTGAGGAGTGTGATGAGTGCAATTTGTGCAACGATTGCAATGATTTGCAATGATTTGCAATGATTTGCAATGATTTGCAGTAAGTGCACCAATGATTGCCACCACAATGCACGCACATCCGCAGGCAGGCACGCACGCCTCCCCCCTTTTCCCTCCCAACACACGCACGCAAACACACATGCACCCACATGTGTGCATCAACACCCACACCCACATACGCACATGCACTGAGCCAGCTTCACCTTTCCTGTGGAGATTCATGTGCCCTCCAAGCGCTCGGGGAGAATCAAATCCCTTGCCACAGAATCTGCACTCATAGTCCATCACCTTGGGAACCCCGCCAAGCCACCCTTGCCTCCACAGCCCTCCAATGCTTGGCATTTTGCTGGTAGGTAACAGTGGAAATTGCTCCCGCTGCTGCTGCTGCTGCCGATGTTGCTCCTCCTTCTGCTGTGGTTGCTGCTCCTCCTGCTGCTGCTGAGCGGGTGGTTGTAAGACTACTTTTGGCTGCTCCTCTTGGCCTTCACACTGTTGCTCCTGCTGGAGCGTTCCTTGATCGTCCACTGCCAATCCTGTTGCTCCTTCACCTCCTCCCAGCCCTTCACAGAAGCTCCAACCATGTGACCGTGCTCCTCCTGCTGCCTCTGCTCCTGCCCGTGCTGCTCCTGCCGGTGCTGCTGCTCCTTGCGCTACCCCTGCTCCCGGCCCCCCTCTTTCATCCTGGCCACTCCCTCCCATGCGAAGGGCTCGTCTCAAAGTGTCTCCAAGCGTTGGCCAATCAGTTGCAGCCTCCCTCACCTCATCCTCGCTCGGAAGTAACCGCTGCTGCTTGTTGGGGTTTCCCCGTTTCCTGCTTCTACTGCCACTTAGCCAAGAATTTCTCTTAAGACCTTCAGGCCGAGTGCCTGCCCTCCCAGCCTCTGCCTCAAGCTGCTCTATACTCATACCCCTTGCTCTCCCTATCTCTCCAGCCAAAAATCCGTTCCTCTTCTCCGTACCTCCAGTTACCTTGCTTCCCACAATTCTTCCTCCTCGAATTCCTCCTCCTCTTCCTCCTCGCCCTCCTCCTGTGTCGAGCTCGCTCTTCCTTATTTCTGGAAGCTTCTTAAACTCCTCATGCGGTTGCGTCTGAGGGTTCTCACGCGCCCTTCTGCTACTGCTGCTGGTTAAGCTACGAGCCAGGTTACTCTCCGCAGTACACTCCAGGGACGCATGCGGCGCTACAGCCATAGGGCAGTGTGTTTGTAACGGGGATACAGGCTCGTCCAGTACAGCCAGAAGCCCTGGCGATGAGAAAGCTTTAGGAGGAAACGAGACGGCTCCAGGCAGGGAAAAAAGCCCGGATGAGGAATTCAAATGTGCTTCTGACAGGGAAGGCCCTGTTGCAGCAGCAGAATGACCGGCAGCAAGTGGTTCAGAGGCGAGTGGTGGAGCCGCAAGGGGAGGTTCCGGGATTGTAACGGCACCAGCGAAGGCAGAAAGGGGAGCCGGGGGTGCAGAATACACTGCAGAATCCGCGTGCTCTTCTGTGGGATCCATGGTGCAAATCCCCCACCAGTGGTGCTTATGAGTCTCGTGAGGCGCCGCAAAATCCGCTTCTTCCTTCACACAGGGTTCGTGTCAATCAGGTGTTTCTTCAACTTTTGACCTGGCGAATCTCTTGGTCCTCGTCCAAATTCCGTCCAGTTTTCAAGGAAACGAATAAGATCCAGCTCCACTTTGTGACAGGTTCGGCCTTGCAATGTCCCCTTGAACTGCAACAAGAAGCCAAATAGGGTCCTGAGCTCAGCGTCTAAGCTGGTACACGAAGACAAATTCGTGCAGTTAAAAGAGAAAAGTTGCGGCGACAAGGAAAGCCAAGCCGGAATCGGCTTACACAAGTCTGGGAAGGAAAGAACAAGAATCTCGGTTCTAGCGTCTCGTCGTCTGATCAGCTTACAATTAAGCCACCCGTTGGAGGCTGCTTGCGTCTTCGAGTGGGTTTCCGGCACGTCAGTGAGCAAGGAGAAGCTGATGCCTGAAAGTTGGAAAGTTGGAAATAGCGTTTGGAACCCTGGTTCGGGGAAAATCATATCCATTCTTGATGATTGTAGATTGGAATCTTGCAGGAGCAGCAAGGTTCGAGCAGAAATAGCGACACGGGATTCTGGGTCGGGCGCCTGATGGATGCGATCCCGTGACACACGGTGGTCCCAATTGCAGTAACGTTTCGAGAAACCTCCATCACGTGGAGCGTGCATGCGTGGGTCTTCAGGCAGTGACTGGTGGAGGCCCGCCTGACTGGGAAAAATATATGAGGTAGCAGAACGTCTTGCTTCGTCGACTTCGGTCGGGTAAATGAACTAAGATTTTCCTGCAATTGCAAGAAGCTGGTGAATTCGTTTAGACGGATAACGACAAGAAATTCGGAATGATAGGCATTCCTTGAAAACTCCTGACAAGCAGAGATGGAGAACCCATCGCATGTTCTAGGTCGGAACACTGACATGCACAGTTTTCCCACCCGACTGTAAAGGCAGAGACTGCCATTGGGTTGCTTGAATGACGGCGAACACGTGGACTGACTGTAATGGTTACGCGACTGTCGTGTGCTCGAAGCGACGCTCATTCGAACTCGATGTCGCAACCTCACGTGCCTGTCTACCTGCATGTCATCGATCGTCGCAAGGCAGGCCATCACAAGAAAACGCCTTACGCAAAGTCGTGCCAGTGAGCTACTCATAGCGCCGAGAAGCCATCCTAGCGCGGAGGAGAAGATGACGAGACAATCTCGATGGCTACCTGCCAGGAGGGGAGACGAAGAATGTCCAAGGTTCATACGCCTGCGAGGTTCCAATGACGAGGTGCATGTTCAGGGTGTACGGTTCCAACACAATGACAGTTCTTGCACCGTGACGAACCGTAGAGAGCGTCCAAAAGCTGTACAACCTGACATCGCCCTCAGTATTGCACAGCAAACCAAAATGACAGAAGTATGAGATAAACGGTACACAGTGGCATGATACGGTAATTGTTCTATTATGAATAGGATAATTGCGATGTGAGGAGGTGATTCCCTAGCATAGAAAAATTACCTTATTGGTATCACGAGGTAGGCTTTGCACGTAAGGCCTTGTTATTGTGCCGAGCACTCATTCTGAATGTAGGGTTTATAGGCTGAAACTTGTACTGCATATTTGAATCCCGCATCGAATGAAAAGGGTAGCACAACCACCGATTAGCAAGCACCAACCACTCTCTCCGCAACAGCATTGCATTGCATTCCCATGGATGCAAAATACAGGACAATGCACTGTACATAACTCAATCAACTGGGATCTGAGAGTGTATTGCTACACCCACGACCAAGGGCAAAAGCAGAAGCAGAAACAGGGCTGGCAGCAGCAGCAGCAGCAGCAGCAGCAGCAGCAGCAGCAGCGGCAGAAGAAGCGACACGTGCACGACTAGAGGGATCCATTGGGATTGTCAGGGAACCCAACACAGCAGCAGAGGCAGGAGCAGCATCGAGAACAGCAGAGGCTGAAGCAGTACCAGTACCAGTAGCAGCAGCAGGGGAAGCATGGGAAGGGTTTGGCATGAGGTGTGCCGGATGGGCGTCAGATGAAGACCGGAGCGTTGCCACTTCCCTGCGAAGATCCTGTGATGGAGAGGGGGGAGAGGGGAAGGGAGAGCGGAGGAATCAGAAGGGGTTGGCATGAGGTGTGCTGGATGGGCGTCAGATGAAGACCGGAGCGTTGCCACGTCCCTGCGCAGGTCCTGTGATGGAGAGGGGGGAGAGGGGAAGGGGGAGGGGGGAAATGGCAGGTGTTGGCATGGGGTGTGCGGGCTCGGTCTCAGCGATGAGGGCCGCAGCGTCGCCACTTCCCTGCATGATGGGGTAGGGAGAAGGGAGAAGGGAAAGTGGCGGGGAGAAGGGAGAAGGGGAGACGGGGGAAGTGGCGGGGAGAAGGGAGAAGGGGAGAAGTGAAAGTCGTTGGAGTGGCGGTATCAGGAGACAGAAAAAACCTAGTATTGAGACACCAAACATCGCCTTTTACGCCCGAAGGCAGTAGTGGTACATGAGTGAGCACAGCCGAACACCGCTCAGATCTGTTTCTCCCAGAAAGGGCGCTTGATGAGGGTGATGCCAGATCGAGAGGAGATAATCCCTTCTCCCCCGTGCCACCTCAAGTACCGATAATCCCAAACCACGCCCGTGCGAGAGAGAGCACAGCATCATGCACCTGGTTCTCCCAGGAGAGGCGCTTGATGAAGGAGATGGCGGACTCGAGAACGAAGGGAGATTGAATCACCTCAAGTACTGATAACACCAAACCACCCCGTGTGCCCAAGTGTGCACAGCAGCACGCGCCTGGTTCTCCCAGGAGAGGCGCTTGATGAAGGAGATGGCGGACTCAAGAATGGTCGCAGCTTGAACCGCCTCAAGTATCAACAACTCAAAACCTTTTTGCATGCCTAAGGGAGCACGGCACCAACATGGTGCAAAAGGGAGCACTGTGCTGACCTGGTTCTCCCGAGAGAGGGGCTTGATGAAGGAGATGGCAGACTCGAGAACAGAGGCAGGTGGAACCGCCTCAGGCACCCATAATCCCAAACCACCCCCCGTGCCTGAGAGGGCACAACAGCACGCACCTGGTTCTCCCGGGAGAGGCGTTTGATGAAGGAGATGGCGGACTCGAGAACAGAGGCCGCATCGCTGCGAGCCCTCTGAGGCACCAGCTTCTCCAGCGCCCGGATGTGCCTTGTCAGCCGCTCCCTCCGCTTCTGATAGGGGTTTGGGTGAGGAAAAGGGGGTTCGGGAGAGGGTAGAACAGCAAGGTGAATGAGAGTAGGAGGAACAGGGTTGTCGCTGCGAGCCCTCTGAGGCACCAGCTTCTCCAGTGCCCGGATGTGCCTCGTCAACCGTTCCCTCCGCTTCTGAAATGGTGGTTGTGGGGGGGAGAGGGGTAGAGGAGCAAGAGGAATGAGAGGAGCAGCAGTGCTGTGCTGCGAGCCCTCTGTGCCACCACCTTCGCCAGCGACCTGATGTGTCTCATCAACCTCCTCCTCTCCCTCTGCTTCTGATAGGGTTTATGTGTGGCGAAAAAAGGAGAGGGAGGAGACGAACGGGCAGAGGAGAAAACAAAAGCCATGTGAACACAGCCACGCAGAGCCAGCCTCAAGAGAACAGCCTCACAAAAACAGCCTCAAGAGAACAGCCTCACAAAAACAGCCTCAAGAGAACAGCCTAACAAAAACAGCCTCAAGAGAACAGCCTCACAAAAACAGCCTCAAGAGAACAGCCTCACAAAAACAGCCTCAAGAGAACAGCCTCACAAAAACAGCCTCAAGAGAACAGCCTAACAAAAACAGCCTCAAGAGAACAGCCTCACAAAAACAGCCTCAAGAGAACAGCCTCACAAAAACAGCCTCAAGAGAACAGCCTCACAAAAACAGCCTCAAGAGAACAGCCTCACAAAAACAGCCTCAAGAGAACAGCCTCACAAAAACAGCCTCAAGAGAACAGCCTCACAAAAACAGCCTCAAGAGAACAGCCTAACAAAAACAGCCTCAAGAGAACAGCCTCACAAAAACAGCCTCAAGAGAACAGCCTAACAAAAACAGCCTCAATAGAACAGCCTCACAAAAACAGCCTCAAGAGAACAGCCTCAAGAGAACAGCATTACAAGGAGAGCAGCTCTCACCCGTGCGTTCTGGCAAAAATGGCTGACCGGCCCCTCCTTCCGCTTCGGCCCTGGCTTGCGACTCGCACACCCTTCCCCCTGCCCGCCCAACCCATTCCCCTCCATCTGCCCACCCACATCACTCCCCTCCATCCGCCCATTGGAACCAAGGCCATCCAATCTCTCATCCTCCTCCATCCCCTCGCCCTCCTCACCCCCATCACTCGTCCACCTTGCCTCGTCCCTGCCGCCCGCTGCCTGTCCTTCGTCCCCCACCCCATCCCAAGAGTACAGGTCCAGTCCTGATCCCCCTCCCCTGTGTAAACCCTCCCATGCTTCACTCTTCCCCACTCCGCTTCGTCCTCTCTCCAGGCGCCTCACGCCCCCGTCTCCGGTCAATGCCCTGCCAGCAGACGCATCAGCACCAGCCCAAGCCCCTGCTGCTGCTCTTGCCCCTTCGCCACTGCTTGCTCCCTCTCCTCCCCCCGCATTTCCTCCTGCCCATGCTCCAAACCCTAACCGTGCGTCCCCAACCTGTGCGTCCCCAACCCGTGCGTCCCCAACCCGTGCGTCCCCAGCCACACCTCCCGCCTCCCCACCCTGCTCTTCCATCTCAGCCATGGCTTCTTTCATCTGCTCGATCTCCTTCAACTGATCTTTGCTCCACACGAAGCTACGAGCCAACCGTGACCCGCCACCCAGCCCGCCGCCCAGCCCGCCGCCCAGCCCGCCGCCCAGCCCGCCACCCAGCCCGCCGCCCAGCCCGCCACCCAGCCCGCCACCGCCCAGGCCCCCACCGCCCAGCCCACCGCCGGCCAATCCACTGCCGGCCAGCCCAACGCCGCCCATCTTGCTGCCGGCCAGCCTGCTGCCGCCCAATCCGCTGCCAGTAAAGCCACTCGCAGGGAGCAGCCCACCAGCCCTACCGGTACGAATCAAACCACTGGCAGAAACACCAGAAGGACCGGGAGCAGAGGAACCAGGACTAGCCGCACCTAGACTCGCAGCAAGAGCACCACCAAGAGCAGCAGCAGTAGCGGCAGCTGTAGCAGCGGCAGTAGCCGCAGCAGCTGCAGCAGCAGCACCGAAACCATTAGCCCCTACCCTGCTGCCTCCCCCTCCTCCTCTGCCCTCCCTTTCTCCCAAACTCACTCCTTCACCCCCCCTACTCCCTCCCTCACCCACCCCCATGTCCATGCCAGTCCCTGATCCCACTCCTCCCCCCCTTAAGATCCCAATACTGTTAGCTTCACACCCCATGCTTGCTCTGCGATCCAATTTTTCACTCTCCAGGCCTGGAATTCCCGAGCCAAAATCCCCCGCACCTGCACCTGCCGAGCCTGAGTTTCCCAAGCCTGACGGCCTGCGTCCGGCGGAGCGGAGGCCAGCTTCGGCTTTATCGATTGCCCCGGTGGCAGCCGTGGCAGGAACAGCAGAAGGGATGTCGTCAAGAGAGAGGGAGACGGAGGGGAAGGAGAAGAGGGGTCGAGGAGGGGAGGTTGGCGGGTCTTCAACTCGCCTCCCACTGAAAAACCCACCAGGAGCAGCAGCAGCGGCACCATAGGATGGGGCGCTGCTACCAGCAGCAGCAGCAAGACCAGGAGCAGCAACAGCAGCATCACATTCCGGATCAACGGAATTAGCCATGCTACTGCGAATCAACCCCCTAGCCCTCTTCCCCTCTCTCTCTCCACCTTCACCCCCATCGCCCTGCACGATGTCGCATCCCCGCTTTACCCCACTCCCCACTCCCTCAGAACCTCCCCTTCCTCCCTTCCCCTCTCCAGCCTCTAATCCTTCTATCCTACCATCCCTTACCCCTCTCTCCCCTCCTCCGCGTTCCCCCCTTTCTCCCTGCTCCCACGGGCCACTCGCACTGCCTAGTCTCTGGAGTGGGGCTTCCCTTGTAAGAGACCCCCCCGTGTATAACGGAATCTCCCCTGTAGCGGGGGCTCCCCTCGGTATCGAAGCATCCCCTGTAACGGAGCCTCCTCTGTAGAAGTGAATTTCCCCTTGGAAACTCAAGGAGCCAATGCTCGGCCCCGCTCTCTGCAGTGCAGCAGCCCGAGAAGCCAAACCTGCTGCCTCCTCCAGATTCATATGGTCTATGCTTGGCCCTGCCCTTAGCAACCCGGGCCTTTGCAGCCCTGGCATTTGAATCCTCCCACCTTCCAACCCTCCTCCTTCCAACCCCCCAAGGCGCTGGTCTTCTTGCGGAAGAGCAGGAGCGGGCGCAGGGATGGCGGAGGCAGTAGTTTGGAAGTTAAGGCGGTCAATACTGGGCACTGCCCGCTGCAGGCCTCGCGCACGGTTTTCCCCTGGAGAAGCAGGAGGAGGAAGAGGAGGATGAGGAGAGGGAGGAGGTAGGGTGGACGGACCGTGTAGGGTCAAGTGGTCAATGCTTGGTCCTGCTCTCTGGAGTCTGCTGAGTGGCTGAGAGGAGGGTGGGCTGTTGAGGGCAGGAGAGAACGGGGGGACTACTGGTGCTGCTGAATTTGTACCAGCAGCAGCAGCAGCAGCAGCAGCAGAAGGTGAGTGAGGACGGGCAACTGGAGATGCAGTCGCAGCAGCAGCAGCAGCAGCAGCAGCAGTTTGTGACTGCTGCTGCTGCTGCTGCTGCTGCAGTGTGTGGTGCTGTTTCAGTCGCAGCACCGCCTCCTGCTGCTCCTGCAGCAGCCCAGACAGCTGCGGCCGCAGCCGCACCCGCAGGCTCTCCAGCACTTCTAACCCCCTCGCCCCTCCCCCTGCCCCTCCCCCTGCCCCTCCCCCACTCCCACTTCCCGCAATCCCTCCTGGCCCGCCTCCACTTCCCCCTGCCGCTCCCCCACTCCCCCCTGCCCCGCCCCCACTTCCCCCTGCCCCTCCCCCACTCCCACCCCCCCCGCCACCAGACCCACTCCCTCCTGTTCCTCCCCCGCTCCTCACTATCCCTGCCCCTCCGCCACTCCCCACTGCCCCTCCGCCACTCCCCACTCCCCCTCCGCCACTCCCCACTGCCCCTCCGCCACTCCCCACTGCCCCTCCGCCAATCCCCCCTGCCCCTGTCCCAGTCCCACTTCCCCCACTCCTACCTGCCCCAGCACCACTCCCTCCACTCCCCCCTGTCCCTCCCCCACTCCCCCCTGTCCCTCCCCCACTCCCCCCTGTCCCTCCCCCACTCCCCCCACTCCCCCCTCCCCCACTCCCCCCTCCCCCTCTCCCAGTCCCACCACCCCCCAGAGCATCCCCCAGCCGGCGCGACCCCTCGGCGGATCCCAGCCGTCGGAGCCGCGAGGACGAAGATCCAACGGCCTGCGGCGTCTCAAACCCGGCATCTGCCGAGCAAAGCCGTCTAAGGCGGGAGGAGGTGAAATTAGGGTTGATGGACGCGTCTAGTGCCTCTGCTGATGCTGATTCCTGTCGGGCCAGGAACCGCTGCTTGCGGCTGCCGTGCCAGAGGGGAGGCTGCTGCTCCTGCTGCTGCGGCTGCTGCTGCTGTGTTGGAACCCGCGGGATTGCTGCTGCTCGTGCATGGAGTGGCACCAGCAGCAGCAGCAGCAGCAGCAGCAGCAGCAGCAGCAGCACCAGCAGCAGCAGCAGCAGCAGCAGCACCAGCAGCAGCAGCAGCAGCAGCAGTGGTAGCAGCACCAGCAGAAGCGGCAGCACCAGCTGAAGCAGCAGCAGCAGATGTACCAGAACCAGCAGCAGCAGCAGCAGCAGCAACAGCACCAGCAGTGGTAGCAGCACCAGCAGAAGCAGCAGCACCAGCTGAAGCAGCAGCAGTAGTAGCAGCCAGAGCAGCAGCTTCCGTACCTAGTCCCCACGTCCATTCGTTTCCCGAGCCTATGCGCGAAGTTAGGGAGCTGCCGGCACGGGAGAGAGGGGTGAGAGGCTCGGTTCGGGTGTTAAGAGCAGCAGGTGCCAGTGCGTCTAATCGATTAGAAGACCAGTTCACAGCTAATGTACCTTCCATTACTCCCCCTCTTGCTGCCATTGCTCCTCCCTCTGCTCCCACACCCCCTGTTACTCCCCCTCCAGCTCCCTCCCCTCTCATCTCTCCTGCTGTGCTCCCAGCAATCGCAGCACCAGCAGAACCAGCAGAGCCCGCAGCGGCAGCAACACCAACGGAACCAGCACCAGCACCAGCACCAGCACCAGCACCAGCACCAGCACCAGCAGCAGCAGCAGCGGCAGGGGTAGCGGCGAGGGTGGAAGGGGAGTGAGGCGACGGGAAGGAGGCTCTGTAGAGGTCACGAGGAGCAGATGGGAAGAAGCGGGAGAGAGCAGGGCCTGGCAAGGACACGGCTCGAATAAGCTGAGGTTGCTTCTGAAACTGCTGCCCCTGCCCCTGCCCCTGCCCCTGCCCCTGCGCCTGCCCGTGTCCCTGCCCCTGCACCTGCCCCTGCACCTGCACCTGCCCCTGCACCTGCCCCTGCCCCTGCACCTGCCCCTGCCCCTGCACCTGCCCCTGCACCTGCACCTGCCCCTGCCCCTGCCCCTGCCCCTGCCCCTGCCCCTGCCCCTGCCCCTGCCCCTGCCCCTGCCCCTGCCCCTGCCCCTGCCCCTGCCCCTGCCCCTGCCCCTGCCCCTGCCCCTGCCCCTGCCCGTGCCCCTGACCTGATGCGCTGCTCACACGCTGATGCTCTGATGCAGGTGCTGCGGCATGCTGCAGGGTGTTGCCTTGCTGGAGGGTGTTGGCTTGCTGGAGGGCGGAGATAGCAGCCAGGAGGGCGGGGAGAGAGGAGAGGTTGGGCTGGGATCGAAGCCCCCCAAGGTTGAGAGATTGGGCGAGCGCTTCGAAAGGGAAGGCGCTGGGAGTTAAATTAGGAGTAGAGGCAGCAAGCGGAGGAGTTAAGGTGGGTGCAAGGGCACGAGCTGGTGCAGGAGCAGCGGCCGGACGATACGGCATAGGAGCAACGTCAGGAGGAAAGGGAAGAGGAGGAGGAAGAGGAACGGATGGAGACGCAAGGGTCGCTGCTCCGTCTGGAAGGTTCATCGCAGTGGGAGTGACAGCTGGCGCGGGGGAAGACGTCGACCTTAGCGTAGCAGCAGCACCTAAAACAACAGCCCCCCCTGAAACGCCAGTAGCATCAAAAACGTTATCAGAAGCAGCAACAGTAGGTGCAGCAGGGGCAGAAGTTGCGGCAGGGGCAGAGGTAGCAGCAGGGGCAGAGGCAGCAGATGCTGCAGGGAGTTCATCAGATTCCTCTCTCACAGCCGCTGCTGCCATGACCACTGCTGCCACCGCTGCTGCTGCCGCCACGTCTAGCAGCTTTGACATGGGACCCCCCTTGCCCGAAATTTCCTGTGTGCTAGTAGCAGGTGAGGCAGCAGCAGCAGGCGCAGCAGTGGCAGCAACAGCAGCGACAGCAGCAGCAGCAGGCTCCGCACCCAGTGTACTGCCAGTTGTCCGGCTCTGATTGGCCACCGGACCACGAGGGTCGCCACCGAGGCTGGCATGTAGGCTCGGGTTCGCGCCGAGGCTCTGCCTACCGAGGCTGGAGAGGAGCCCCGAGGCTTGGGAGAGGTAGTTTGTGAGGCGGGCGTGGTTCCTAGCATCTAGAAGCTCGCCTGTTCTTGATCCGTCCTCCAGGATTTGAAGTAAGTGCTGGAGTTGAGGGGAGGGGTTGGTGGTGGCAGCAGAGGCAGCGACAATATGTGTGTTGGTATTTTGGTGGGGGCCTGGACTAGACATGATGGCTGGGCTAGATCGCTGGGCTGGGCTAGACGGGAGGGCTGGGCTAGATCGGTGGGCTGCGCCGGACGAGAGGGCTGGGTTTGATGAAAGAGCAGGGAGAGCGTTCGAAAGGGTGGGGGCACAAGGGAACGCTGCTGGTGCTGCCTCCAGTGCCGAACCTGCGGGTGTCCCCCCTGCTGATGTGGCCCCGACTGTTGCTGTGGCTCTTGCCGCCCGCACTGGAGCTGCTGGCAGCTCTACCGCTGCTGGCATTCGCACAACTGCTGCTCCGGCAGCTGCTGTTGCTATCGACAATGCTGTCCCTGTCTCTGCCGCTGTTGCTGCCGCTCCCGCTGTTGCTGCCGCTGCTGCTGGTGCCGCTGCGCCTGGTGCCGCTGCCGCTAGGCCTGCACCAGAGGAAGCCCCTGAAGCCGGATCAGACGGACCAGCCGCAGCAGCAGCCGTGCCTCTTCCTCGTCCTTCACCTCCTCTGGTTCCCCCCTGGGTGGATAGAAACCCTGTGAGGAGGGAGAGAGCGCTGACAAGCTGCTGCTGTGCGCCGGATGGGAGGCCGCTGGACTGCACGACATGCGACATGGACAGGACCGTTTGAGCCATATGTGCAGCCCGCGTCATCGCTGCCTGAGTCGTTGCTGTCTGTGCTGCTGCTACCTGTGCAGTCCCTGCCGGTGCCGCTCCTGCCTGTGTCATCGCCGCTGCCTCTGGTGCTCTAGTACTGCTCCCCCGGCCGCCGCCGCTGCTGCTATGGATAGCTCCGCTTGATTGGTCTCCGCCTGGCACACCTCCTCCTGTGATACCTCCGCCTGGCACACCTCCGCCTGTGATACCTCCGCCTGTCACACCTCCGCCTGTGATAACTCCGCCTGTCACACCTCCGCCTGTGATACCTCCGCCTGTCACACCTCCTCCTGTGATACCTCCGCCAGTCACACCTCCGCCTGTCACACCCCTGCCTGTGACAGCTCCGCCATACAGCAGTTCTGCTGCAGCAGGTGCGGAGCTGAGGGTGGTTCCGGCGAGAGGGGTTGCACCTGCATGGTTTGCTTCCAGCGGACGGTTGGGTGGGAGGAGGGAGGTGGAGGGGAACAGCGACAGAGTCATACCGGCTTCACTCGCTGCCTTATCCCTCCTATTGACTGCTTCGCTGCCACGTGTTTGCTGTTCATAAACCTCCATCTCCATTGCTTCTTCCTTGATCGCTTTTGAAATGCTAGCCATTGAGGGTTCTGCCAGGAGTTGGCGAAAGGATTCTGTGTTTTCACATGCTTTCGCATGGTCGTATGGCGACGGATTCGTTTCTAATACGGCCGTGCGCGACAACTCTTCGGTACGAACGGCGAAGTTTCTGTCACCGACTGATCCAGCAGTGCGGTCGATCATATTAGGGTTGGTGAAGGTTAGCGGAGATCCCGGAGGCCTGATAACAGCTTGTTCCGAACGCTCCTGTAACGGAATGAAACTTGAGAGAGGCAAGTCAGCGACATTGCGAGTGAGTGGGTACCGATAAGAACGATGAACGGAATGCTGATCCATCGGCAAGGATTCATTTCAAGTATGTAAAACAAAAGGAAATGGCAGCCTTTGGTAGCAGAGTGTACTATGCTAGGTCAAGTACTCCCTCAGCGATGCGAGGCCTCACTGACGGGAGGTGTCCTCATCGACTTAACCACCCGCGCCTGCTGCGACCTAGCTACTAAGCACTGATTCAAAGGCGCTGTATGCAAGGAAACGTATTTACCTCACGAGATTTAGTGTAAGAATCATGCCAGGGAATGGCAAAAAGACCAAGACCGATTTGCTGGGTGAACGGCCAGTTAGTTACGATAGTACAGTATAAACGTTGCCGCGTTACTTTCGTTGCCGCGTGACTCAAGGTCGTACAAGGTGACGTTTCACCTAAGGCCCATAGTAACTGTACAGTAAGGCTTGTACCACTGACATTCACGCTGTTTTCTAGAGCCAAACAATCGAGTACTGTAATAACGACGACCGTCAAAATCGAAGAACTGTTTTCCATCCGTGCCACAGGCCGAGGCTCGGCAAGGAGAAGTTCTGAAATCGACGTCTTTTCTGGGTACTGTACAGGACAAGGTGAGATGAGATGAGACAACTCGTCACACAATCCAAACCTACCAAGTGTGGGCCAGGAAAGCGTTTCGCGCGCATTTTTGTTGCAGATTGGGAACGCTGGAGATTTTTTCCAAGCCCTAGAAACTGCCGAAGTTGCCAGTGCTGTATGCCGCAAAAATTCCTGTGGTTCGTGCGTGAACTTGCTCCTTCGCTGAATTGTACAGTAGTACTGAACTGAACTCTGCGAACACTTGGTCCGCGCCCGAACCGAAACCTGCTGGCTGGGGAACTCTAGGTTCAATTGCACCTGATTACGTGGCATTTCGTTATTTCACGCGGATCAGAAGAATTGGAATATATATTGCACTGCCTGCGTCAGCAGGCAGTGCAATCGAGTCAGCGCGGGCAACAAAAAAAATAAACCCCAGTCGGGGGCATGCCATCCGAGGGAGCCTCAACCCTAAAATTTTAGGGTTGAGGCTCCCGAATGGCATGCCGTAAGCCATGGGTTTATTATTTTTTGCCCGCGGGCAGCGTGCTGACTCGGTCGGTGGCGCTACCGGGCGCTACCGACCGCTACCGGCTCTCGAAAGTGAAATATATTGTATTTGTTGGTGACAGGAGTTTGGTACTTCCCCCACAAATACAGTTCAGTACAGAACACGGCACTCATTCAATCCAAATCCTGTGGGTGGGTGATAACGCGTATATTGGCTGGGGCATTTAGTTTCCATTCCGTCAGGCTAGTCTGCTGCGTTCCATAGCTTGTCACCGGCAGCCATGGCGCACGGAAACAGCAGTCCCGCAGCAGTCGTTTTCTGGTTCGTTCTCCTAGATTTCGCAATTCAGTGGACTGCGTGCCTCTTCTCCGCAGTTTACCAGGTCTAGTCACCTCCGCAGATTTCATATTTCCTCGTCATGCCGCCGCACCATGAAAACATTTCCTCAGATTGTTGTTCATTCCAGCAGCGTTTCAGCTAACCAAACACTTCTCTATTTTTCGGATTCTCGTGAAACCCATTCAGACGGAGCTTTTTTTCGATTTAACCGGATCCTGCACGTTCCTTCTCGGCGCCTTCCTCTCTCTCGCTATAGGAGGCTCGCTGCACCAGAGACAAGTAATCCCGTTTCCTTATTTAAAAAAATTCTCAGAACTACCTCCAGTCTACGGGGCTCGCTGCACAGGGGATAAGTATACTTGTTTCCTGATGTATCCGCCTCTCCATTTTCCCATCTTCTGGGCTCCGCCGTGTTTCGTGGATCCCTCAAGTTGCTTCCTCGTGCATAACCTTTCAACTCTTGTTCAAAGGAAGACATGTCCTTTGAGGCGCTTCGGAAGGAAGACGTGTCCTTTGAGGCGCTTCGGAAATTTCTTTATCAATCATAAGTCTCTTTGAGGCGCTCTTTGTCAATTATGGAATGGGTTCAGAGGCCTCCCTCAGCTTTACATCCACATACCCTTCGTTTTGCACCCTCGTCATCCGCTTTAACCATACGATGAGATCCCGTCGTCCGTTCATGGTCGCCTCGTTGCATCATAGCCAGATTTCACACGTCTCGTGACGCTCGTTGCAATCACATTCGGTTCGCTCCATGACCCCCCCTTCATTATCAGGTGGTTGCATCATCTCTCGTCTCTATCTGGGCCGTTCGCCTCGGAACATTCCTCTTCACCCGCATTCTCCGGGTGATTCCCCTCCTCCCCCCCTCTGCACCATTTTTGAGGTCCCTCAAAAGTCCCCTTTTCACCATTTTTGAGGTCCCTCAAAAGTCCCCTTTGCACCATGCACCACCACAGTGCCTCCCCTCTCCGCCTCTGCCTCCCCCTTTTCCTTGCCCCTCCCCTCTGTCTCCGCCGTTCCCCTCCGCCTGCATTTCCCCTCCTTCTTTGTCTGCGTCCCTAAAGTCGACTCACAAGGGGGTTTGTGAATCGTGCATCACTCAATTGTTTCCCCATGCACCTGCTGTGCATCCACTCCCGTACTTCGCCCACTGTTCCATCGCAAACGCTCATTGCCTGTTTGTTTCCTTCGCCTGCGGGCTTTCTAAGGCTCTCAAAACGCAATCGAAGCACCACCGTTCCCATTGCCGCACACTTTTTGCCTGCTTGGTTCCACTTCCTACCCCTGCGCTCGCACTTCCACCTCCCCACGGATTCATGGCGACTCAAAAGCATTTCCTACCCCTGCGCCCGCGCTTCCCACCTCCCCACGATCATGGCAGAGGGGGAAGGACTCTCGGTTCGATGGCGTGAGGGACCAGCCCATCTACCTGATGATGTTCTGGACCGTGCAGGTGGGGTGGGGAGTGGACTGGTGCAGGTGGGGACTGGTGCAGGTGGGGACTGGTGCAGGTGGGGACTGGTGCAGGTGGGGACTGGTGCAGGTGGGGACTGGCGCAGGTGGGGACTGGTGCAGATGGGGACTGGCGCAGGTGGGGACTGGCGCAGGTGGGGACTGGTGCAGGTGGGGACTGGTGCAGGTGGGGACTGGTGCAGGTGGGGACTGGCGCAGGTGGGGACTGGCGCAGGTGGGGACTGGCGCAGGTGGGGACTGGCGCAGGTGGGGACTGGTGCAGGTGGGGACTGGCGCAGGTGGGGTGGGAATTGGTGCAGGTGTGTATTGAGCCATGTGTGCTTGCTGGCTCGGGAACCAGCCCAACCCATCCACCTCACGATGGCCTTGGGCTGTGCAGGTGGGAATCAAAATCGCGCATGCTATCCGTTCATCCCACCAACTCCCTCCTCGTCCTCTCTCGAGGGGAGGCGATGAGGCAGAGACACAGTTGACGACGAGGCATCTGCCTTCTCGTCATCTCATCGCTTCTTTCTCGCTCTCCCCTGCATGTCTCATCCTCAATCGCGCCCGCACGCACCACCCATGCCTCATGCCAGCTTGTCACCACCCATGCCTGATGCCAGCATGTCACCACCCATGCCTGTCGCCAGCATGTCTCTTGCCTGCCTATGAATTGAATTGAGCATGAATTCAGCTGGAAGTCAAATGAGCTCCCCTGTCCGTCCACCTCATGCCAATGCCACCCCGCTCCAGGGCATGTGGGTGCTGCTTGTCTCGCTGCCTCTACTCATTCTCAATGCCTCGCATCCCCAACCGCAATGGCTCTCTGCTACAGACGTGGCAGGTGAGCAGATGTGCTCTCTGCTACAGACGTGGCAGGTGAGCAGGTGTGCTCTCTGCTACAGACGTGGCGGGTAAGGAGCCGTGCTTTCTGCTACAAACGTGCCTGGGCGGAAGTCTCTGTTGCAAGCGTGTCAGTTAGGTAGCTGCGCCTTTTTGCTACAAGCGTTGCTTGCCATGTTGTAAGATAACCCGTTCTTGTCTTCATGCATGGCTCATACCCGTTATTTACTGCTGCAGGAATGGCTATATGGCTCGCTGGCTTCCTCATTGAGACCATATCCGACCATCAGAAGTTACTGTACGTGAAGTGATTATACGTGAAGGTACTACTGGTAAAGCAATTCTGATTGGGCTCGTCACTAACAACTTTACAACGCCTCAGAGGGCATCACAGTTGAACATGTGGTGAATTCTTCGTCGCTAAATTAATTTAGGTGCATACTTCTGGACTGATTACAGGTGAAGTTAGAGGGAGGGTGTGGAGATGGGTTAAGATGGGAATTCATTGTGCTGAATACTACACCTGGCCATGTTCCTTTGTCTATAATCTATTCCAGGTGTAGAACACTGATTCGCCCTTCTCCCTCGCTTGCTCCCCCCACAGCCTTTTGCTTCGTCCCCCCTCTCCTGCTATCCCCCTCTCTTTTTTCCTCTCTCTTCGATTCCCCTTCGCTCTCTTCCGCCCCGCCTACCTATCTCCTTCCAGTCCAACCTCCTTGTTCTTCTCCCCCCTCGCCCTTCCATTCACTGCAGCTTCAGCTTAAGCCAGGGAAACTTAAGACATACTTTTCATAAAGCCTGTCAAATCCCAACTCACTTGTGTACAACTGCTTGTGTTTTGCCTCCTTGTGCTCCTTCCCACTTGCTCTTCAATGGCAGCTTTAGCCTGAGACAGGAGAATGAAGGCAGGTGGATATCCACTGGTCTATGGAGGTACCGTGTTCGCATGTGCATTTAGCATGACTTGCAGTC